TAGTTCCATAAAATTGTCAGCACAATATCTAAACAGAGGACTGTACGACCCCTTATCTAAAGGACAAGTTACTGATAAGATCAGAGTTCAGCAACGTCTTTAAGAGCTACGATTGCTAATCAAGGTGTACGTTACATTTATGGTTACTAGACTTATCCAAATGGAAGACTATTGGATTAGTATCTAAGGCTGTAACCGTATTTGGTAAGTACTTGACCCGGTTGTGCATGGTCCTTTTAGGTTGCCTTCACCAAAGCAACTTGACTGGAGAAATAGTTGAAGAGAGAGGTTATTATGATTTATTAATATGTTATAAGAATAATATATTAAAGGAGAAATCATATTTTTTTTTTTATTAATATTGGTTAATAATTAATTAGGAATTTATTTTGTGATCAAGTGTAATTAATTAAACTAGAGGGACTGAATTGTAATTATGTGATAGTTACAAATTAGGGAAATGATTATCCTTATTATAGGTTGGACGAAATCAAGGATAAGATATCCTTGAAATCGTCCAAGGGATAGAGGATATGGGCTTTTCAAGGCTTATCTTGTGATTGCTTGGTGGACAAGTAATTGGATAAGGATAAGAACTAAAACCCTAATCACAACCCTATATAAAGACCCCCTGGCCTTGAGAAATCGTCCCACCCATTCTCTAGAGATACCAAGGCCGATTTCTATTCCTCCTCTCTCTCTCTCTCTCTCTTTATAGTTTCTCCAATTGCTTGTGGTGTTTGTGAGCCATTAGAGGCATTACACTTGTGGTGCTTGCTTTCAAGACAACGAGTTTGGAGATTTCAGTTGTTATTACAATATAACAACAAGAGGTATGTGATCTAACCTTATATGTGAATTTCAAAAATAGCATTGTACATTAGGGTTTTTATTCTTGTGTTCATAATGTTGTATATCTAATAGTGAAAACATAGATCCAAAGCTAGCTTTGCATGTACACATAGGATTGTTTGTATAAAATCCATCATCATGTACATCAAAAGTAGCAAAAGATAAAGACGAGACTCCAAAATGTTTCGTCTTCTCCAAAAGTCGGCAAGGGTACCTGTCTACTGTTGTCCTGAGAATACAAGCGATGTTGAAAACGTATCCGCATGATGCTAGTAACTTCATAAGCATGCTTTTGAATGAAAACTAGTCACTAAATTCGTGTAAAAGGTTGTTTACTATTTTATGTAAAATATGATTCGTTTTGAAAACCCTGGCTACCACCAGTATGTAAGGTACGTTCTTTTTGAAAATCCTCGTTATTACTAGTATGTAAAGTACTGAGGTTTAACTGAGAAAATCCCTTATTTTCTCTTGTGTGTGTTGTTGCTTTAATGATTCTGAAATGGTGAGGCATAAATATAATACATATTAATGTGATTAAAGCAATTGTTCGTGAGCAGTGTATTATTAAGTAAAAGTGTCGTAACTATTGGCAAGCTTTATGACCATACTTAAACTTGATATGACGTGAATCATATGCCGATATTCTTTATGACTTTGTCGCCCGTAGACTTGCCGGTCCGACTGCAGTTAGCAGCAAGGTGCAGGATAGTCAGTCCCGTATAGATCTATACACAAAAGCCACGCTTTCCCTCCAGAAAACTCTGGTTCATAAGGGTAGTCCTCAACTTAGTTAATGCTGTAAGACCCCAGGGACTTGTCTCCCAACGATGTTAACGACTTTACAAGTACTAATATGTAATACATAATGTTCTTTTGTATTTAAATTGGATGTATGTCTTGAAGAGTAAAAATAATTATACTTAAATAATTATTAACTGTTGTACTCTTGTAATGCGTGTCATAAACTAAATTTGTCATAGTTTATTTGTTCAATCGTGTAAGTAGTTTGTATCAGTAAAACCGGTAACGAAATTCCCCAAACTATACCTATTATAGTTTGACTGTTATGTTTGTGAAACTGTTCTGAAAACTATGCAATTAATTTTGGAAACCATCCCTTATGTTCCGCATAATAAAAAAAGGATAAAGTATCTAAATGCTTTATGAAAATCGTTGATTTGTATAAATTGTATAAGTGTTGACTCATTTAAAACCCTTATGTTTGGCTTGTATTCCCCCTAAAAACATTTAAAAACTATAAAAGCGTAGGGGTATGAGCTCACTGTTTGACGTGGGGTTTGAGTGTAAAGTCGATATGGATGCTGAGTGTCAACTGGAGTCTCGAACACAAACAAATCCTATTTAACATATAATAGAATATATATGTATTAGATTAGGGTATTTCACTACTAGACATGATAGGAAATCACTCTAAGAATTTGGAAACACTTGAACTATCTATTAAAACCATATGTGATTGAATGAGGGAGGTGTACAGCCATCCTAAGGGTGTGTACAGCCATGGGTGTACGGCCCATGAGTGTACGGTCATACACTCATGAAGGGGTGTCTTTTTGAGGTGTTTCCAAGGTCCTAACTAGCATCCAAGAAGTGTTCTAGGTCCCTTGCTTAGTGATAGTGCAAGTTTGAGGCCAATAATGATCATCCAAGAGGGTTTACGACCCTAGGAGGTGTGTGTGGCCGTACACCCTTCATGTTTATGCAAAAATGGGTGATTTTAAGACGAATCAAGGCTAGGATCAAAGGTTTAGCATGTCCATTTAGATGATAGGGGCCAAGCTGACACTTTGGAGGGCCTTTAAGGTGTGTACGACCACCCTTATGAAGGTGTGCGGCTGTACTCCTTCAAGCGATGAAGAACAAAGGTTGAAACATGAAGAATCAAGAGGTATTTCAATTATAACAAGCTAAGGGATGAATTAATTATGTTTTTGGAGCCTTTGGATGGTTCTTGGTTGAAGAATCTAGAGAGAGAAAGTTGTGGTGTGCAGCCAAGAGAAGAAAGGAATGAAGGAAGGGGGTCTCCTCATATATATAAAGGTGGGTGACCCACCACCCCGAGTGTGTGGCCATGTGGTGGGTGTGCGGCCATGAACTCATCATAAAGGAGTGTATGGCCCGGAATGTTGCTTTACGACTTCGATAACTCATTCCTAACCTCAACCTTGGTTGTACTCGAGCTTAGAACATTTAAACGAACCCTTAAATAGTGCTAAAAGTAACAGAAACGAGTTTAACGTTGATTAATTGAATAGTTATACAAGATACAAGTTTTGGGTTGTCACAGGATAAGATATTCATTGATCAACGATGTTAATTCTCCTTTTCTTGATTACATTCCTAATTTGATCTTCAAAACCGTTGAGGTGGAAGCCTACTTTCTCTCCAACTGCGATTGTTTGAGAAATCTCTTCTTCGGTGTTAGAAGTCGCACCAGTGTTAGGATTGGTGTTAGTTGTGGAAGAGTTCTAGGAATTTATGGATAATGTATTCAAGTTGATATCCTTCTAATTTCTTAGGTGAGCATTTATTTGTCGTGGCTGAATCTATTGTAAGGCTCCAAGTTATGATTGATGTCGTTGACTTTGAGGTTTTGATTTTTGGGAATGACTTCTCCTGGGGCATGGCTTGAATGGGCATCCAAATTGAAGGGTTGTGTTTCTGGAATTGGGCCTGAGTTTTAGTTAGAGTGGGCTACTGAATTTTGATTTGGGCTGGTATTATACTGGGATGGTAAAGTCGAATAAGGGAGATTTGGGTTTATGTTCCACAAGTGTGGGGTGTTTTCTGAGGGGCCTGAACCAATGTTGGATTTAATCGGTTGTTTAAGCGTAATTTGGTCCATAATTTTCTTTATGCAGAATTTGAATAAGGAAATGTGGGATAAGTTTAATTAACTGATTTTTAATGGGCATGTTGGGTATAAAAATATGGGTCAATCCTTGTACCGGTTCTTTAGGTAGTAGTGGGTTAGTAGATAGCATTTTATTCCTTGTTTTATATTGCCATGTTTGTTTTATCTGTTGCTAGTTTGTAAGCCTATATAAGGCACATCTTTGATTTAATTAAAATACCAAGAAAAGCACCTTCAGTTCATAACGTAAGTTCTGAGTGTGTGTAATTGTGTGTGTTTTCTGAGGGGCTTGAACCAACAATTGGTATCAGAGCATATGGCTCGTGTAGAGGAAGAAGGCCGTTTTGAGAGTCGAATTCCGAAAGGGAAGAGCCTTCGGGTGCAGAGCTGCCATCACAGCAAAAGTCGGGTGTTTGGCAATGGCATCTTGGAGGTTCGATCCCGGAGATGACAACAGATGGTTGTCAAGAATGCTTTCTCAATAGAGGCGTGAATAGGGTCAAGATTGCATAAGTGCAATGTCCATCCTTGATCAGAAATGTTCCGGGTTAAAGAGATCTTGACCAGAAGCGGAAAGAAATCAGAACATGTGGGTTTTGATTTGGCTTGCTCACAGTAGGTAAAAGAAAACAGAAGAAGCAGGAGCTTGGTTTTCTTGACTGTTGGAAGACGACTCTCCATAGGAACGGGTTAGATCAGAAAAGGTTGGGACTATTACATACAAGACAAAGTGATGATTCCGGCGGTAGGTTTTGGATATGTCACCGGAAAATGGAGAGAGTTACCGAAGTTGCGTGAGAAAACGAAAAGAAAAGATCCATGAAAGCAGGTGGCTTTGGGTTTGTTTCGTTTTGCAGGTGAAAGAAGACGGGAAAAGAGGGTTGCTTTGTTTTCTTGATCGATGGAATACAGCTCTCGTTTCACAGAATTGTTAGGTGAAAACGGATTATGTGTGGTGACAAACTACAGCCGGGTGTGGAAAACTTTGGACGTGACCGAGGTGAAGGTCGGGTGTCCGGAAAAGGTCGGGAGTTGGTGATGACTTTGGATGTGACTGAGGTGGAGGTTGGGTGTCCGGAAAAGGTCAACAATCAAGATAACAAATGGTGTGAACAACCGATTAAATCCAACATGGGGAGCAATCTGCATGTGGCTCTTCGGAGGCTGGGCAATTTACTCGCATGTCCCTCGTTTCTTGGAGCTGCTTTTGCTCACACTGGTATTTATTGCATTGCTGAAACTTCTTGACTCCTCCAGAGTGAATTTCCAGTCATCTGAGCTTGCTTGGAGCCGATTTCGGGGACCAGTTACATCCCTCAACATCCGAATTGCTTATTCCTTCTTCATCCTCGTCTTCTTCTTTGATGGGGTCGTAAAACTGCTCCCACATATTTCTTGTTGGACTGGTAATTAGATCATTGCTAGCGATGACCGGGCTCAGTTTGTTGGATTCGAGAATATCCTCCATCACAATGATTCCATACTTGACCTTGTCAACTACAATGGATGAACTTTCACTGATAAAACCTAGATAGGAGGTTAGAATTCCAACCCTTCCATAAGCCATGTTGATGTTTTCCGTTGGACACTCATCTAGTATAATTACCTTGCCCCACGACTTTGTGATGGTCAAGAATACTTCCTCACACCATGCATGTTGTGGTACACCAAAGATTAGGATGGACGCGATCCTCTCAGTGAAATTTTCTTTAGGGTCCCATTGGTATAATTCTTTAAACTGTGGTTTCCATATTCTCTCATCTTCTGTTAATACTTGTTCTTTTTCTGTTATAGTTTCAAATTCAACTAGCATCTTTAAACCCCCTAAGTATCTCATCACTATTTTAGGGTATCCTTCCACTTCTATGAATGCTCTCACTTTCATTAGGGATTGGAAGGTTTATGTTACCCCGACAAGGGATCTTTGCATGAGTTTGATTGTGTCGGGGAAGGATGACATTTTGATTTTAGGTAGTTCAGGTTCAGGGGTTGGCTGATACTTACTTGGGTGATGGTTTCTTACTCCGAAAATAGCCTCTATACAACTTTTATTTCTTGATTGTTCTTCATGTGTTGGGAAATTGTTTTGATGGTGGGGTGCTGGACGAGGCGAAGGTTGTTGCGGGGGTTTTGGAGGTTGATGGTGATGCCGAGATAGGGGTCTTCTGATAGGGGTTGGCCGTCGTTGATACCTTGCTAAATTTGCCCTTAACTTGTGGTTACCAATCTATATTTCATTTAGCTTATGAGCAAATGTTGGAGGGTCGTTAATCTTGATGAATCTTACAAATCTGAATCTCTTGTTTGTTATGTTCCTTTTTTTTGCAATATAAAGGTTGACTATCGCTCCATACTCCTGGAAAATTCTCCAAAGTGCTTTCTCATCCCAATCTTCAGGGAAATTCTAGAAGAAAAAGCTTGTGGCATTCCTGCTTGCAAGTTGGTGGTCATTGTCTCTTCTCCTCCTGTGGTGAACTTCCTGCCATACGCCGGTAGCATTCCTTGTGTTAATTCCCCTCTCTCTCTCTCTCTCTCTCTCTCTCTCTCTCTCTCTCTCTCTCTCTCTCTCTCTCTCTCTCTCTCTCCTTTTTATTTGTATTCAATCTGTTACTAATTAAGATTTTTATTTGTATTAAATCCGATAAAAAAAATATTAACAATTTTATATTGACATCTCCTCTTGACTTAAAACATTGACTAATTAAGATTTTTAAATATGATTAATATTTGATATCAAAGTTTTACGTGTCTTATACGTTATTAGTTTATACGATATTAGTGAAAACCAAATTTGCTAACCAAAAATTTTCAGTTAGTTAGCCTTGTCACGTTCATTAAGTTCTACATTCATGAATTTGAATCATATTTTTGCCACTACCATTTGGGCTGTCCTAACAAAACAGTTAACTTTATGAGGAATCCAATAGTTTCATTTGAATTTGTCGTCATCAAGATCACATAATTTTTTGCTTAATTTCATTGGTATTGACCACAATGAACGGACTAGATGTATCAATCTTATGAGAAAAAAGTCATCAGTAATATCAGCTAAACAGTCTAAAAGTTTAACATAGGGTGAGTTTTTAACTTTTTAGTTTAAAAAAAAAAAAAAAAAAAAAAAAAAAAAACCTCAAACAAAAGAAAATGTTTGACAATGAGCTTTTAGCTCTTATTTATATTTATAAAAAAAAAATTGAATCGAAAACCTTTTACCTTTTAGTTTTTAACTAATTTATACATTTGAAAATTAAAAACTATTTTAAAACTATTTTTGTTAAATATTTATGTATGAATAAAAGCTAACTTTTGAACTACCAGTTATCAACTTTCAACTAATAGTTAATTTTTTCAAACACTCCTTAAATAATATTTGCGCCAAATGCATAAACACTACTAGAAAACTTGATCAATAGCTACAGCACAATCCGTAGCTATTCCGTAGTTATAGGCGGATAGCTACAGAATTGCTACGGAAAAATGGCTGTAGCATAATGGCCCGTGGCTAAATTATAGCTACGGATTAGCTACGGAACCGTTACGGAATAGCTACGGAAAATTCTGTAGCTACCATAGCTACGGAATTCCTACGGAATCGCTACGAAGCTAAATAGCTACGGAATAGCTACGGACCTGAATAGCTACGAAATAGCTACGGATTGAAATAGCTACGGAATAGCTACGGAACTAAATAGCTACGGAATAGCTACGGACCTTAATAGCTACGAAATCCGTAGCTAACCTCGTTTTATTTTTTTTTTAAAAATAATTTAAAAAGTTCCAATTTTTTGTCAAATACCACATTCAATTCACATTTGTCCCACATTCAATAACACATTTGTCCCAAATAGCATATCCTAAAAATGTTTCCCTCAAAGAAAAAAGTGGAAAATCAAATACAGTAAATGAATACACATCTCGTATCCAAGCTGCACAATGTTGTCTTACGACGGATGAATTTCTTTTGCCTAAACAATTACAAGTAAAGGATATGAAGTAAATTATAAAAAGTTGATCTATAAATATTTCAAATATTAAAATTCAAAATATGCCACTTAGAAAACCAAAACATATACACCTTAAAAGGAATTGCATAAGAATGTTATATAAATTCCTAAGTTAATTAACCTTGGAAACAATAATTTCTATTTGTTCTTGCTTCACCAGTTGAGAGACCATGGTCCTACAAAAATAGAACACACTTTAATGTTGCCTTCGTAGGTGGCATGTAATGGTAGATACACAAATGTATAAAGCAAAATTTTGACTTATTTGAATTTCATAAGCCGAACATGGTGATTCAAAGATTAGTAGGGTGATTGAGCATCCAGAACTATTTCATGATTCCTAATCAAAATAACAAGATGTAAAAAATATTGTAATGTAAATTGTATTAAATTTATGAGGTTGAAGATAAGGTTAGTGAATAAGAGACAAGTATTCCCCTGTTGCACTTAGTGAGTTATCACTTATCAGTTCCATTTCTTTGTGATTTCATTCCATCATAACAAATATGCCATAAAAGAAAGGCGATATATGGGATTGAGAGCAAAAATAAGAAGGAAAAACTATTGTAGTCACCATAAGAGCATAAATACGGGTCAAAATTCCCTTCCTCATCAATTTCATTTGTAGAGCTAAACAAATAAATCTCTTTTCATGATTATGAAAAAAGGACACGGATTCTTACTAGCTTAGCATCTCCTCCTTGTTGTAGTTGATGCAATTATAAAAGCCTAAAGCACAATTAGTGAGATCATTATTAAACTGATGTTAAGGATTTTCAAGTTAAAGTTGTTTATTTTCTCACTATCTATAATAAGAAACATCAACCAATACTCACAGATCTGTCGAATTCTAACATGAAGCATCTTTTAACATCTTCTTTTGTAGGTTGGCAACTATATCTGTCATGCCTTGATTTCAGATCTGAATACATCATGAAATATTCTCTTTTCAAGTTATAAATCAATATGATAAGCATCTTAGCTCATTAATGGTTGGTAGAAATACTAAAGACCATACATGATGAAATAGAGTATATCAGGATGTACCACTAAGAAATCCTCCATTTAACCACTATCTGTCATATTTAGATTAATTAATCCCTGTATTAGACGGTTAAACCCATTAATATACAATACTAATTACATCTACAATGTGATCAATAATATTGGTTGCTTGTTTTGGTTACGTCTAGAGCAAATCAGTATTAAGGAATCAAGTAACTGTGAGTGGTGAAATTAACAAAATATTTTATCACATGTTGAGGTGAAATTAACCAAATATTTTATCAAATTCAACAAAAATTTAACCTAAACCCTTAAATTCGAACTCACATCCAACAAAACACATCAACATTATCACTGAATAAGGCATCTAAATTGTATATATGAAGTAATTTCAAAAAAAAACTAGGGTTTTACCTTTTTGGGGAAGAACCGAGCAAAGAGGCCGAGAGAGAGGAGAGCAGATACGCCGGAGAAGAAGGAAAGTTGGATGGAGACGGGCGACGCCGGCAATATCGACGGAAAAGAGGGCCGCCGACGAGGGAGATGGTCGTTCGTCGCCTTCTTTTTCTCACAACGTGTTTTTTTTCTAGTTCTAAAATGGGTAGACGTCGAGGGTGGTTTTTGGGTAACGAACATAGAAGATAGAAGGGAGGAAGAAGAAGCGAGAAGAATTATTCGGAGTCTCGATTTGGATCCCGCTAAAAGGGAAGCGGAGGCGGCCAAACAAATATAAAACCCTAAACTTAAAAAGGTCAAAAACAATTAAAAAAACCGGGAAATTGAAAAAAGCCAAAAAAAAAATTAAAAAAAAAACGAAGGTAGAGGGACTCGAACTCGGGTACATCACATACTTAACCATCAGCTTTACCACTTGGTTGGGAATGCCACATCCATACCCTATTGGTTCACTAAAGCTTTTAACCACTTCGTCTACCATTTTATTATTATTATTATTATTATTATTATTATTATTATTATTATTATTATTCAAGTCTTAAGTTTTTTTTTTTTTTTTTTTTGATAAATTTTCTTACAAATTTAAGACATGAATAATTAACTTTCTAAAAAGGGTCAATTTTCTAAAATTGGATTTTTGATGCATTTTTTAATATAGTAACATAGTCCAAATAAAAAAATAATCGTGCTGACCTCTCAGCTCGATCCTAGCCAGGGGCTCTGCCCTTTGGACCCCGCCAGGGGCGCTGTTCCTAGACCCCCGTTCGTTTAGGGGCTTCTCCTCTAAATAAAAATGTACTTTAAATCTTGAAAAACTTGAACAAGTGCACTCCTACGCCATCCTAACTTGTTCAATATTCAACAATATCACTTTTGGTCAACAATTTTAATCATATTACACTTAAATAATATTAATGATATAAAATCACCAACAAACCTCCCCCATTTAAGTGTAATCCTGATTAAACTTAAAACAAAACATAAACAACAACAAATTGATGCATAAATGATGACGATGAAGATGATGATGATGATGACGATGACTATTGATAGTGTGATGGTGATGGTGGTGGTGGTCGTGGTGGTGATGGTGATTGTGATAGTGATGGTGATAATGGTGGTGGTGGTGGTGATGGAGACGGTGACGGTGATGGTGATGGTGATGGTGATAGTGATGATGATGGTGGTAATGGTGATGGTGGTGATGGTGATGGTGGTAGTGGTGGTGATGATAGTGATGGTGATAGTGATAATGATGGTGATGGTGATAGTGATGATGATGGTGTGATGGTGATGGTGGTGATAGTGATGGTGGTAGTGGTGATGGTGATAGGGGTGACAGTGATGGTGGTAGTGGTGATGGTGATGGTGATGGTGGTGTGATGGTCATGATGGTGGTGATGGTGATGGTGATGATGGT